GACTATGTGGCATACCGTTCTTTTTTTTTTTTTTGTTCAAAAGCAAGCAGTCCATGTGATCTTAAACTTTCATTCTTAGAACGGGTAAGGCTTTCATTCATACATAAGTACCCACGTTCAAAAGGAATGTGTGTTTTCGGGGGGGAGTACGGATTCATTGATTTTTACCCACCCACAACCCCTTGTGACTCTCATGTGCAAACATGGAACTGTTATTCACTATAGTACAAATGTACAAATGTTGTATAAAATTAATTATAAGACGATGACTGAAAGCATTGACTATGACAATAATGCCCTTAATTAATTACCATCTCATATTAAAAAGGGGGACAAGTTTGAGGACATAGATGTTGTTCACCTGATCTAGAACTCATCATTGCCTGTAGACTCTTGGGAAGGAAAAGCTTCATTGTTGTTGAAACTTTCAAGAATTTCTGATGCAGCATATACTTGTTGACTGAGTTCAGGAGGAGGGGGTTCTTTCAGATGGAGAACCTCAAGAACATACTCTATTCCATTCACCAAATCATAAAGCATCAGGCCAACCCTTCCTCCCACCCAACTACCCAGCTCACTTCCAACAAAATAGCCAACCCTTCCAAAGCTCGCCTCCCCAAGAAAGCCAACATAATAGGTGCCAGACAATGTACCCATGCTCCTTAGGACTGCTTCGGTCATTGTACCCCCCAAGTAGAGTGCTTCGAAAAAATCCCACCCGGAAGAAATGATAGGGGCAATGATTCGATTTGCTTGTCGTTTTGCCAGTTTGGCAGCTTTTGCGCCTTCTATCTGTACACGCTTAGCTGCTTCCTTTGCAGGCATGCCTTGAGATATGGCATCAGCAAGAGACGCCATTGCCTCCTCAATTGCTACATTCCTAGCTCTCTCGATGTGTGAGCTTCTAATATTATAAAAGTACAGCTTTACACTCTCCTTGACAACACATGCTAGGGTTCCAGTTCCCCCATCTAAGCAGTTCAAAATGTTAAAATCCCCACTTTTGGATGCCGCCTCTTTGCCAACTACTTCCCTACATTTTTCAGCTACGAAACAAGCAAATAGCACAAAATAATTTCAAAAAAATGGAAATGAACAACATAGGAGTAAAATAAGAGAAAAATAGGGTGTGCGGTTGACACTTGGAATGAACATTTTTTTCCCGTCCTTATCCACCCCCTCCATTTAAAAGTAAATCTTCTCCTTGGTGCATATGAAAGTTTAATTCCAGCAACTCTAATTCCTCAAATACAAGGAAAAGAGTACTTTCCCGAATGCCCAACCATTCCTATCAACATCACTATTTTGAAACCTTCTCTAATTTGTCTCCACTCCATTCCTCCCTTATTCCTTTCTTCTAACCAAAGCCTAGATGGAGAGCTGATAATGAATATATTTTTTCTTTCATCGTAGAAAAGTATACTTTCATGTGCTAGGTTTTACTATTTACCCAAGAAAAAACAAATACTCTCGATGTTGTTTTTCTTCTCTTGCACACCAACTCCTTGTTTTTAAAAATATTTGTCACAAAGAGACAATCATGCACACTTAAGGACTTCCTTATATTTTCATTGTGATATTCGTGAGTACAGTGGAGAGTGGAGACCCAAAATAAAAACATGAACGAACAAAAACAGCACCCAAAAAAAGCCACAACAAAAGAATAATTTCAATAAATACAGCAAAAAGGAACCGGAACTAAAGCTTGAATAACTTCAACAGCAACAACAAAAAAAGAAAGTGAAACTAATTAAAAAGGAACCGGAACTTAAGTTTTCATACAGTACTTCACTCGTCAAAATAAATGGTTTCTGGATAGAGCTTTAATTTATAAGTAGGAACAACAAAAATACAGAGCACATGTGTCCATTGCTAATGGAGCTAAAAAAAGTACTTCTTGACAATGTCTTAGCTTTGGTTACACAATGGACTAAATAAGTATAGCACGTTAAACTTGCTTTGTTTCTTAAAAAGCTTTAAGGAAAAAAATTCTAAAAGAAATACAAAATCATTTGTTGTGTAAAAGATATGGACTGCAGTACTAGTTTAGGCAATCATGTTCAGAATTATGTTCATATATACATATAGGCGTTGGGAGATTAAAAAAAAACCTAAGCAACAATGAGGTTTCTAAGGTCAGAATGATGGATAAAAATCTTGATTAAATTGCTTTCTTTTCTTGATAAGAGGAATTCACAATGCAATTCGGCAGGGCCTCTACTTAGAGCCACTAAAATTACTAGGCATTCAACAGCTCTTATTCACCAGAAATCCTTAAAGCTGATCTACTCCGAAATCGTACTGCTACACATAAAAGTCATCACAGAAATAACTAAGGCGAGAGCGTTCTCTAAACGAGTGAAGTTCAGATCAGCAAACACAGCCCTGAATTTTGACTTTTTTTCCAAATTCGTGGAAATTTTGAGAAGAAAACAAACGAAATGTTACCGGTGATACTCAGAACGGCGACAAGGACGACGGCGATGAAGAACTGAACCCTCTTCTTCTCGATCATTCTTGGCTTCAGCTTACCAAAGAAATCCTAGTTTTCAATTACTGATGGGCAGAGATTTGCTCAACTTGGAGGAAAGAAAAATGCTTTTCCGCTGACCACCGTTCAGACGTTCCACGGCGGCACGGAGTATATTTTCCTTTTAACATACGTAAAGCATTAGTGCTAGAACGACTCGTGTCATCCCGGGTCGGCAAAGGCATTCCCACATTTCTTACCATAATAATCTAGGGAAATTTAAGCAAAGACTAAAACATATGGAGTAACATTTTTCCAAATAGGACCAATTCTATTTACTCTAACATTTGACAATAAAAAAAAGTTTAAAATGATTTTAAAAAAATGGTCATTTATACAATTCAACTAGAATAAGGTATAAAAAACAATTTAAATAGTCATTGAAATAATCAGTCATTATCCAATAATAATATTTGTTACTAATGACTACAATCGTAAAGTCATTCTTATAATCAGTCATTATCCAATAGTTGTTACGAATGAAGATATATATGATAGATCATATGGAATTACGTGTCATAAAAGGAATAAAACATATGTGGTCTTATTAAGAGAACGTATTACCTTTTAATCCTATATGAAGCAAATTTTTTTATTATCTATGCTATAATTTTTTTTTCATTAAATACTAATTGATGGGTGTATTCTCACCCAAAACCCTAACCAGGTCAAATACTACCAGAACCAACCGGGTGGTTCTTGAAACGTTCATGATAGAGAAATTAGAGGGAGCCATGTTCTGGCTAGTAGGGTATCAAATCACCTGGGTGAGTTGGCCCACGCGATACTACCGGTCCGGAAACACCCCTTCGAAGAAACTACCTGGGTACATCATCGGGAGTGACATAGATACTAACAGCGATGCATACTTGAAGGGTAGCGGTTTGAAAATAATCTGGTCAGACCAGATCCCTTGCACCAAAGGATATATTGACCATCCTAGCTTAAGGCTACATGCCAAGAGAGAGAAAGAGCTACAGAGCATAACAATCAGAGAAGGGGGACGAACGCTACAAAATAAAGAGCCATCACCTCGTCACGAGATTGGCACATGAACAGGTACCTGTCACCTTATCCCCTAGGTTCACTATAAATAAGCGTGTAACCCTCAATAGAAGAGATTTGATCTCTCTCTATAGCTTATTGTGTAATTAATCCTTGTACTCTTCTCATACTTTGTAACAATTGGACTACAGGTGTTTCCACCTACTGTCCTCCTGGTCAATCTTCATTTTTTGAGAACTTTTAGTATATAAACTCAGCAAACCCCCTAGACCCGGTCTAGAGTAGTTTGCCCATTTTGTTAATTTACACCATCATTTTTGGCTTCATCCGTAGGACCGTTAGAATTTTCTTTATTCTGTTTAGAGGAGATTCACCCACGAAACACCACATAACAACCATGTCGGCCAACAAAATGCAACCACAAACTCCGTCTAAGGACAAGCCACCACCAAAAGGGATGGCTTTGCGGGCTGTCACCTCCTACGCTGCTCCCTCTACCACGATGATTCCATTAGGCGTCAGCCCCATTACGGTTCCCGCCATCACCGCTTTATCTGTCGGACAGATGGTCTCTTTCCCCATACCCTCAGCCCAAAAGTGACCTTCCCACCAAGCATGGCTCAATTCATCAACAACTCTGCTAACCAGCAGGCGATCCACGGATTTGGCAAGGCGATAGCAATGTGCCAGCATGTAAAAGAAATGCCTTTCCTCCAATGGATGTTCTCTTTTGCGCTACCCGGCGCAAGGCAAGTGCCGCTGCAGGTTCCCATGCCTCACACGCCACCTTTTCCATCACCGATGCCACACTTAGGGATTGGCACGGGTCGGGACGGTTCAGGTTTTATATCATCCCGTGTTTTGTCCCATTTCTTTCAATGAAAAAGAGAAAAATAACTGAATTCATACTAGTTAATGAAAAAAATAAGTTAATCAATATAAATTAATCTGAAACTCGTAAGAAATAAAATAAAAATATACGGAGTGGTGAGTTTTAACATTTCACGTACTATACAAAGCATTAATGTACTAGTTCTTCTTATGTTTAGGAAAAATTAACTAGAATAGAACCCTTCACTCCTTGTATTTATTTTTTATTCTTACTTATTTCATTTTAAATTTTATTGATTGTCTTATTTATTTCATTAATTTTGTATGATTTTAGTTACTTTTTTTATTTTTTATTTGTTTTTTATTTTTCTAAGGTAAGACTAATCTTTAAAAAGGAAACAGAATTGATAGAGCTAGAAAGTCATTTTAAAAATTTAAATAAAAATTTCAAAAAAATTGAAAATTCATAAAAAATAATTTCAACTTTTAGTTTGTTGTCTAATTTGAACCTTTTCCGTTAACTTGTCGTACCTAGAGCCAAAACTCGCAAATTTGAGTGAAGTTGTGATTGGTGGAATTGTTTTGGAAAAAATGAGTAAAGTTAATCCCATGCTTTAAAATTTCCGTCGAGATTCTAGAATAATGCCCTGGAGGTATTTTTGCCCTTCCATAATTTTTTTCCCTGCAACACGACATTGAAGTTCACTATAATCTCTGCGGGTAAACTATCTTCGCCCTTATCATTTCGTATTTATCATACTTTAAATATTTGACAAGGATTTGATAATGTCGTTAGGGTTGCGCTCGTGCCTAGGAATGACTTTTCTCCATTTTTTGAAAGGGGGTTTCCACGAGTAGTGATGAGATTGTTGCTTGTTTCTTTGGGGCTATCCACCGTTTATCTTGTAATCGAGCTCTTTTTTTCTTGGATTACTTTTATTTGCTGTGAGGTGCTCATGATTTTCTTGGTAGTGTTTTCAAGCTATCAAATCTAAGTAAACTCTTGTTAAGTTTAGTAGGGAGTAACTTATTTGCTTGGATGCTTGTATGAATTTGAAAAGAAAAACATTTGACATTAAAAATTTTCTAGTGCCTTTGTTTGTGATTTTCTTGATGCCATTGATATTTGATATGATAATTGACCTGGCTTTTCTAACAGGTTACTACCCATTACAAATTTTGTTCTAGATTCCCTCAGAAATGATGCAAAAATGGGTTGCCTTTTGTAAATGAAATCCAGATGCTCTAAGATTTGTAACGTTACTGCTGGTTGGAATGAGGGAGACTTAGAAGCTAACCTTGTAAAGGTTGTGGTTAAACTAAAAAAAAGTTGTTATGGTAATCATATAGGAGACTTAAACACCACTGTATGTCACTAATGTTTGTTTAGAATGTAAGTGTTGACTAGAGAAGATGGAGCTTTGGCATACAAGATTGTTAACATGTTACAAGTTATGTTCTAACTTGTGTTTCAGAGTTCTTGTTTGTTGATAGTTTCTGTGATGTGTCAGCTTTGTTTTAAGAGATATTATTCCTTATTTACTCTTGGTCGCTCTTGGATGCCTTCAGTTTTTCCATTACTCGTGTCCTTTTGATTACTTAGTTTGGAAAGCCCCTAAGAAAAGTGCCTGCAAGTGGGTCTTGACAATCTTGTTTTGTACAGCTGTGCTGGTAATAGTCATAAAATAAGAAGCTTAGGAATGCAATAGAAATATTGCTAAAGATGGACAATATAATAGCACCTGCATCTGCTATTTCTCATGCCTCTTCTCTTGGCTTTGAACATGCTGCTGCCCATACCACTAGTGAAGATGAAGAGAAAAAAGGTTCAAAGACCCTCCCGGGATTTATTTTCTTGTGTAATGGAAGGTCAAAACCAGAATGTTACCAGTTTCGTGTTTTTGGTCTCCCATTGAGTAAGGTGGATGTTGTGGAAAAGATTAAAACAGGCACAAAGCTTTTCCTGTTTGATTTTGACTTGAAGCTTCTATATGGTGTTTATGAGGCAACTTCAAACGGGCAAGTGGGATTGGAACCTCTTGCTTTTGGAGGCAAATTTCCAGCTCAAGTAATTTCTTTTTCTTGCTATAAAATGTTTCTCTTGAAGTATCTTTGAAAGAAAAAATGTAAATTGTCTGACGATTGTAGATGTCTCTAGACAAAGTCTCATTGCCTAAACTAGAATTTGATGCTACCCTATTTTCCTTGGGTTGATGTGATTGGTGATGTCATCTGGTTGTTTTTACATACTTTACCGTGAAGAATGGTGTTTAGTGACAAATCATAAAGTATCATGATCACATATATTAAGAAGCTTTACAAAAACTTCAGCCCCCTTTGGTGTAAGGGCTATAGGGCTTTTATTTACATACCATGTGTCATGTGCTTGATGTGGGTGTTCATTGAATTTTTCCTCTTGTGCAATTTTATTTTGTTTTTTAAGATTAATGTGCACATGCTTTCTGCTATTGTTGTATTTATTCCTTATGATGTTTAGTGATCCATGGAAGAGTGTGGAGCACAAAATTTTTAAAAATGATGTAATTCTTAATTATTCATATAATTAGTTTCTGATTCACTCTGAAACAGTTTTTTTCTTCCCTTGTTGAGGAATATCCGTCATGCTTGTAAGCATATTTGACTCAAGGATAATGGAGAAAAGAAAAAAAACAAAATTTGTTCTTGTTTGTTATTCCATCCAGGTACAGTTCAGAATTTACAAGGGATGTCTTCCATTGCATGAGACATCTTTTAAACATGCAATTAAAGATAACTATAAAGGCTCCAAGTTTAAGCAAGAACTTGATGAACATCAAGTAAGCATTCTTGTTTTGTTACGATGATAAAGACTGAGAAACATATTTGTGGCTTGAGTGACTATTTTGTGATTTATGTCTCTTTATGTAACTGACAACTGTGCACGAAACAGGTCACACATCTTACATCATTGTTTCGTCCCCTCTCTGAAGCATCATCATCAGCTGCACCCATTCCACCGGCTAACATTTGCTCTACTTTGCCAAATATGGATAATCAAAAGGGCATTCACCTCTTGCCAATGAAACAGCACGTTCAGCACTCGCCAACTCTGCGATATGGGGAAGATCCTTATGCTACCAAAATTGAACAAGTTCATTTTCAAAACATCCAAATGCCACAGCATGGCTGGCAGGGGAATGTACCTGTTAGAGATCATGGCCAATTTGCCATTCATCAAGGATTTTCAGCCCCTAGTGAGCGATTTAATACTGCAGATTGTCAATCACATTTCGCGCCATCCCATTATCCATACCATACTGCAAACCCTAATCTCATGCCTCCCATCCTCCAATATACTGCAGATGCTCAAGAACGAAATATTGCAGCTCATATTCAGCCATATCCATCTCATGAGTCTCAAAAACTAAATGTGAACGTTTCCGATTGCTCATATTATACTGGAAGTGCTCAACAACCAGATAATACCACTTCTGGCTACCCATATTATAAGACAGATTCCCAACAAGTAAATTGTGCAGCTCTGAGTCATCAATATTATTCTACTGGCTCTCTGGACCCAAATGTTGCCGTATTTAGTCGCATGTCCTATGCTGTGAATCCTCAACAGCTCAATACTACAGCTTACGTCCAGCAATATTGTTCTATGGATCCTCAACCACTAAATGTGGTAGCGACAAGCCACCCTTGCTACACTGGTGATCCTCAGCTAGGAAATGGCACAGCACCTGCTCAACCATATTGTATTGCTGATTCTCATCAAGACTATGTTATCAATGGTTCTGCTCAACTGAGACAGGAATGCTATATTAGGTACTATTCCCTTAATTTTGTTTTAGCTACTTTATTTCTTGCATTTCCGCTTGCAAACTAGTCGATTGTCCCCCGGCCTTTTCTTAATGGATGTTGCAGTTTATTTAACAAATTACTCATATTTTGGGTTATTCCTATATAGAAACTTATCTATCTATGTAATCAGCTGCAAATCAGATCCTGATTTCGTAATCAATTGTTTTCTAGTTCAAAGTATTTAATATTTCTTGAATGCCGAATTGCATAAAAATGAACAATAATGCTTAGTGGCTGCTATTGATTGGGACAGGTCAGTGCAAGAGGCGGTTCCCCAGAATTCACAGCCATTGCCCGAACAGATGCATCACCAGGCTGCTCTTGTCTTCAACTCCAACCCCATTCTCCCAACCCCTTATTTAATGAACTAACTCACCATGAAGCTGCTCAAGCAGCTAAGCTTCATCTAAATTCTCACTCTAGAACCTGTTATTAAGTAGTATGTGCAACTAATGAACCTTATTTGTTTTTTGTGGAAGGTTGTAGAAATGATGAAAACTAAGTATCAGCACTTTGTAGTTCTGCTTGAATGGTGTTGCATTATCTTTTGGAAACAGTTTACATCTGCCCTAATGTGCTGTAGGGAAATGGTGAAATTAAAACCCAATGAGGATCTGTGGATATTTTCAATCCTTAATTGTAACGTCCTAGAAGCCTAAGAAGTAGTCACTAATTTAAGCAAATAAATATTAGTTTAATACTCATGCACATTTATATTAATCTTTCAGCATTATGTTTTAGGTATAAGAAGTACTTGTGCAATTTTACACAATCATTAGATGATGTCACAATAGTGCACTAGAATTCGTATTTCCTTTCATGGAATACTTGATTTATAAACTTCTTCTCCACCCCATCCATTGAAACTCCATAGTTCAATTCCGAAAGAAGGGAGATAGTTTTGGTTACTTCTCTCGTGCATTAGAGGGCATGTTTCACTCAATAAATGATGAATTGGTAGAGCTTGGCAGACTGTTTCAAAGTGCAAAAGGTAAAACAGCTTTAGCTCATGAATTTTTAGATAAATTTCTTTAGCATCTTAATGCAAACCTGTATCTACCCTTGTTGACAGAAAAGGGAAGTTGGTGTCTGCCTCTCTAAGGCCCCCAACGCCAAACCCCATTTTCTACCAATCCATTGTCCATGTCTTGCAGTATTTCACATTCACTAGACCTAATATTGCATATACACTCAAGCAATTTTGCCTTTTCTTGTATGATCCACGACTTTCACACTTTAATACCATGAAACGACTACTTACTTCACTACTTGCATGTTACTGCGTCTAGTGCCATCTCGCTAGCTCCTTCACCTCGGATTTCCTTTGTGATGACTTGGCAGGCTGCCCTCGCATACTATGGTCAACTTCTAGATATTTTATTCTCTCAGGGGATAATCACATATCTTGGTCTTCCAAACCACAACTGACAACCTTGCGCTCCAATGCATAAGCTGAATGCACGGTCGTGGTACATGTAGCGGTTGAAAGGTGTTGGGCCTCTGCAATCTACTACTTGAGTTGCATCAACCTCTTTAGTGTTCCACCTTAGTGTTCTGAAAAATGTTATTGTTTTGTACTTATATGCAATTCTCGTTCAGCATCAGCGAACCCAGTGGCTGATCTAGAATCATAGGTGACTGGGGCACTTTACTATTGAGGTTCGGGGGTCATGCCTTTGAAAATGTTTTATGGAGCAAAGTTTAAACATAACGGATAAAGTAACACATAAACCTAATTTTCTACACCAAATGTAACACCCCAACCCACGTAACCCGAATAAATGGATTAGCGAACCGGATTGTTACTAGATTGGTACCCACATACAATATTTTTCAATAAATTTAAAAACATTTAATTTAAAACTCAAACAGCTTAAATAAATTTAAATACATATCAGAGTTTATACAACCAGTGCGGAAGCCTTATAATTAAATTAAACATCATGAAATCCCTGCATCCGTACATCTCCTCCGTCACGCTGTCCTCCAGGATGTACTTCAAGGTCAACCCCTCCATGATTACCTACGTGTAACAAGGGGAAAAGAGGCTACACGCTCAGCAACGAAGCTGAGTGAGAAATATCTAACAGTTCGAACATACATACAGGCGAATCCACTAATTCACAATTATCACATGATATCATGCACATAGGTTTAATATCACGCAGTTCACATAACAATTCATCATATAATTTACCTGGCACATGCCCTTTCTCATTTTTGCCAAAGCGGAGCGTATCTTGCCATGGTGGTTCACCATTCATTTGTGCCTAAACTCTACACTAAATTAAGGACTTACTACTTTTCTGGGAGTCATGATTGTTCCCACTGGATCAGCGGATCATGCTCAATCAACGAGGGAGTTCTCACGGTTGGTGGATCACCAAGAACTTATCCCTATTAACTATTCTAATCTAAGGACTATAACTTTACTGTATGGGAGACATGAGGGTTCCCACTGCTCAACCAACGAAGGTGTTCTCCGTTGGGTGGGTGGAATCCCCACCTGATGGATCACCAGGCAGTTCAAGGATACCCGTACGTACGTTTTTACCCAGTTCGACTTAACCATTGGAGCCCACCAGGCAACCACCTGGTTTATACTCTTAATTTCCTATATTTATGTCAGTCCTAAAGTTTTCCTATGGGTAGACCTACCTTACCAAACGCGTTGGATCAACACGTGGCACATGTTTGCTGTGTGCTGAATCAGCCCACTCATACTTGTAATATCATATCCAAACATATGTATTTCACATAATCACACATGTGTTGGATCACCATAATAATATTAGTTCACTTAAGTGTTGGATCAACACAGAGCAATCACAATTATAACACATAGCGGCCTAGCATTGGGTATTGATACCCAAACTTACCGTCATACAACACATAAGGTCTTAGAATCAATCCTTGACGAAAACACATATCGATACACCCGGCATCAGGTACCAGACGGTACCTGTCACGATACGGGGTACTGTCCTTACGGTACCTAGGTACCGGTCCTACGGTACCAGGGGTACCGTCCGAATCAATAAACTCTTTCGGTAGGACTGCTACGGTTGCCAACTACCGACCTAGCGGTAGGGCCTACCGTCCGTCCGTTACCTAGGTACCGTACGGTTGCAGCTACCGACAGAGGCAGAAGAAACCAACAAAGGGTGACGGTAGCACGGAACCGCCCTGGCGGTGGCGGTACCACCTACTGTCTGACACAACAAATTCTATATTCATACCTGTTTTGTTTTTTAGCATCAGACCAACGACAATATTATAACAACGACAATATTATAACAACAAACACCAATAGGTCCATATTAACATTTTAAACATTATCAAGCACATTAATTCATCAATCAACGCCTAAGTCATGCATCCTACCCTTTTGATTTGACAACAATAATTCCCGAAGCCATAACCAACAATTACACAGATAAATCACATAGATCAACCACGATAACAATTATGAACGAAATTTCAAACCTAGATGTATATTCTAGTGTTAGATGTCCACGTACTCACCTAGATTCGTCAATTCAATTCAAGAGAACATCATTCTGATTTCATCGTCAGAGTAATCTCGTTTGCTGCCTGAACTCCATGCGTCCCTGCTCGATGTCACCAGGTCGCCGCCTCTGTCACCGGAGAGGCCAAGTCGCTGGATTTTGTCGCTGGTTCCAAGCCACTGTCAGAGGCGTCGGAGTTGCTGCTAGAAGTCGTCGCTACTGTTTTGCCTGAGCAGAGAAGGCTTGCCAGAATTGCTGGATCGCTCATCCTCGTTGCCGGAGAGAAGTCATCGATCGCCGCTGCGCTTTTCCGGAGTTTCTGCCAAGCCGCCTGAATTCGCCTGCCGTTTGCAATACCTGCTTGGAGTCACCGGAGAAGGAGGAGGAGTCACCATCGCCGGTTTGAGGTCAACGCCGGAAAAGATGGAGGTTGCTGCGCCACGGTGGTCAGTCGCTGGCGTTGCTGACCTTGCTGGAACGCCGGAAATCAGATGCTTCTTCTCGCGCTAGAGCTCGGTCGCTGACCTACCGTCGTCACCTCCATGGATTCGCATTCGCTGGAGATGGAAAATCGACTGGGTTTGGTGGCGGCGTGTTTCGATCGGAGAAGAAGGGGAACGAAGAACGGGCTGCGCGTAGAGATGAAATTCTTTTATATAAATCCTAGGGTTTTGTGCTCCGAGATTAAAATAACATGTCTGAGTGAAAACACACTTTTCGGGCCAACTTGCCCCGAATTGAGATCTGTTCGCGTCATTGGATTTGATTCGTCGATCCCTACCCAACGATATACCTTTTACATTCAATTGACAAACATTTATTCGTTCCACTTGATCCGTCTTAATTTCTTCGATTAATTAGTACCAATCAGTCTTTTAATTTAAATCTTCATAAATATAATCAGATTAGTCTCGTTATATTCAGACGATTAGAATCTCTAAAATATCTTTTAATTCTTTAAAAGAATAGATTGTTGTAAATAAATAATTCTTATTTATTTAATTATTGATTAACTTCTAGGGCGTTACATTTCTTCCCCCCTTAAAGGAATTTCGTCCCCGAAATTCTCATAAGGTACAGAGTTCAATAACTTTGGTTTCACATTCGCAGTACAATTATGATTGGTGAATGGCCACACTATTCCCACAGAAATTCTCTTCATTTATCGTTTGAGGTATTATCGTAGGAGTTTTGTATTGTGTTTCGTTCAAACCATATAGCAAGTTCGTCGAGTTCCTAATTTGATCTTTCAGGGGTTTGACTCCAACGGGCACGGATGGAGTACCTCCATAGTGCGTATGAACAATACTTAAACTTTCATATATCATAGCGTCAATTATTTGATCAATCGTTCAGTTTGTATTCGAAGTCCTTTCGTTCTATGAGCTTATGACGTTAGCATGAGATCTTCTCGGATTTCTCGTTGATTAACAGAATGGTGGTAATGTTCACGTCCTTCGTGTGGTTGACATTTGCGTTAAGGAAAGTTTCTTCCACTGTTAGGTACTTCAAGCGTTAGAAGTTGTTTTGTAAGTCTATCTCCAGTTGTTCCTTCTCTTTGTCGTGCTATCACGTCACAATTCGTGTAGCATATCGTCATGGTCAGTTTCACGGCGTTGTCAATTCATACTTGGATTACTCTCGAGGGGAGTCACTACTGCCGTCTACATATAACGGATTACTGTTCGATTACTATTCGTGTTCGACATGGTTTTCGTGTCATTAGCGTATTAGTTTGTTTTGCTCGAGTTTATAACAAGATATATGCCTAGTAACAATTAATTCGTTTGTCTATTATCAACGTCTCTCTTTCTGAATAGAAAGAAGATTCTTCAACATGCGATTACGTTCATGATCTTTGATAATGTCGGGTACTTGGGACTTACGGATTTGTCTTAGGAATTCAGTTAATAGATCATTTACAAGTTTATCCGTAACGATCTTCTTAACAATTTTTTGTTCATACATACATGTGTCTTCGATGTTGGTGGAGTAAAATCTTCATCGTTGAGATCTTCAGCGAGATTCTTGGAGTCGCAGAAATGTACAGACTGATTCAATAGGGTCACGATGATTTCTTAAATACGTTTATTTAGAATATGTTTCTTCATTACGGTTTAGTCAACTGTTTTGGATAGTACGAGTCTAAAGGTCAAAGTCAACGTTATTACATAAACTTCTTACTACACAAGGCATTGCAATCTTCATGGGTACGTCATCCCTTGATTTTAGATGGAGGTTTTGTTAATGCGTTACGAAGATACCATCTCCATTTACGTGTAGAAGTTTTACCACCGTCGATGGGTCAAAGTAGAGAACAAACAGTGTAGTCAACATACAGATGTAGATTACAGATGAACTTAACAGTTCAGGAATATTAGTCGTTCGTTTGTCACGATATTCAAACCCAACGTTTGTACAATCACACACATCCGACAAGGTGTTTCAAAAATTACTTCTTAAGGATCGTTTATCTTCAATGCATTTCTCAAGTGAGTCTTTCGGAATCCTTCATTTTACGATCTACACCCGTTCGTGATTAAATTTAACAGATGTCGTACATCAACTAGTTAGTTGTCGACTTGTTTCTTGCAGAATAAGTTTCATCATGATTCATCCATCATCGGCGAGTTTGTTTTGCGAGTCAATGATACTTCATTAGGAGTCATAGCGACCATCATCCAAGTACGCGTTATCTGCGTCTCGTAGCCGCTCGGTACAATTTGTTCATCAACTTGCGTGATGTCAATCACCTATTCAGATTTCGTACCAACTGTCTAATTGTCACCCGTTGCACTCGTCGGCACTATTCAGTAGTTATTCGTTGTCGTCATGCGATCGTCGTCATTCGTATTCTTTCGTGTCATGTTTGTCAGTTACGCGGCGTAAGCGATTATCGATATATATATATATATAGTCTCGTTAGATGTACGGCGTACCATAGTCGTCATGGGAATGTATCATACGCCCTCACTAACTTGTGTATTTCGCATAGTATTAATTACGAGATTCTCCTCACTAATTCTATGCGTTCAATCAGGTCGTGATGCGAGCTCAATTTTTGGGATGGAGTGTCTACGTGTTGTTGTGTCGCACACATTCGTTGTGTTCGTGGTTGCTTCAGCTTCGTACCCTCGATGGGTCGTGCGTGGTTGGTGTAGTAAATGTAGTTCGGTGTTCAAGGTTATCATGTTTTGCTCCTTTCAAGCGGTACGTAGTGATATCGTAACTTCACGTTCTTGGCGCGCATTCAGATTTTCATCCCCAAGTTTCAGGTGGCATTCAACTCAGTGACATGACATTAGTAGCAAGGTATTCGACATTAAGTGCATTCATCGATCTCGGAGTAGGTCCATTCTTCAGGAGTCGTAAATCTAAAATCTTGAAACGGCTTAGTCAAGATTAAACTGATTCGCTCTTGGTTCATTAAAGTTTTTTTTTCAACAATTCTTTGATCCTACTAACGAGAATAAGTGGGGCATTCTACAAACGTCGCCACTATCACTATCGGCATCATTAATACTTGCTAACTAGACTTGTAACGGATCAAGAGCCCTTCAACGGTGCGTCCGCAACGGCTGACCACCTATATACTTGTCAAAGTCGTAACTTCTTTCGAGTCTGCATCATGCGTCTTGTTTTGTTGATCAAGGTACATTGGAATGTCACGTCTTGCCAGATAGATTATTCATTACGTTCTTTTGGTTTGCATCCAGCCACATCACTACACTACGATGTGCTGGTGGTAAGTATTATTTTTATTTAGTAATCACACAAAGTTCTTCTTGCCCTTTATACGGTTATTCCCGTTTGATACTAAAATAAGACTCCCTCATCCATCCAGGTCTGCAGCCCCTTCAGAACTTGGTTATCCATTCTAGTGGTCAAACGAGATAATCAGGTATCAGACAAGATATTTTACTACGTGTACATTTTTACACTCTTTTCTATTGCGACTTAGCATCTCGTTGTCAAAGTTTATGCTAAGTTCACCTTAAAGCAAGTAGGTTCGGATGTGAATTCCTATCTTAGTCTATGGCATTCTAGTATGCAAAGTAATCAACATTTTGCAGCTCAACACAGATATTCCAACAGTCAACTTGACACCGACATTCAAGCAATCATCTTCTTACAAGTATTTGAGCAATTAGCTCAACACAACTATTCAAAAAAAATCAGTTCAGTTCACACAACTTGAGCAATCAGTTCCATACAAACATTTAATCAATAAGATAATAACTTATTACCTTCCCGAAAGGAAGAGATGACGTGGAGGATGCAGATGCAGTACTTGGAATAACTTTTGCCATAGTTATTATTATTATCAAAATAATACTATTTCCACCCATTTATTTTCAAAATAGCACTTAGAAATGGTCCGAAGACCGATTTTAAAACCATATGCTCTGATACCAAAATGTAACACCCCAATCTGCGTAACCCGAATAAATGGATTAGCAAACCGGGTTGTTACTAGATTGGTACCCACATACAATATTTTTCAATAAATTTAAAAACAGTTAATTTAAAACTCAAACAACTTAAATAAATTTAAATACATATCAGAGTTTATACAACCAGGACGGAAGCCTTATAATTAAATCAAACATCATGAAATCCCTGCATCCGTACATCTCCTCCGTCACGCTGTCCTCCAGGATGTACTTCAAGGTCAACCCCTCCATGATTACCTACGTGTAACAAGGGGAAAAGAGGCTACACGCTCAGCAACGAAGCTGAGTGAGAAATATCTAACAATTCGAACATACATACAGGCAAATCCACTAATTCACAATTATCACATGATATCATGCACATAGGTTTAATATCACGTAGTCCACATAACAATTCATCATATAATTTACCTGGCACCTGCCCTTTCTCATTTTTGCCAAAGCGGAGCGTATCTTGCCATGGTGGTTCACCATTCATCTGTGCCTAAACTCTACACTAGATTAAGGACTTACTACTTTTCTGTGGAGACATGAGGGTTCCCACTGGATCAGCGGGTCATGCTCAACCAACGAAGGAGTTCTCCGTTGGGTGGGTGGAATCCCCACCTAATGGATCACCAAGCCGTTCAAGGATACCCGTACGTACGTTTTTACCCGATTCCACTTAACCATTGGAGCCCAGCAGGCAACCACCTGGTTTATACTCTTAATTTCCTATATTTATGTCAGTCCCAAAGTTTTCTTATGGGTAGACATACCTTACCAAACGCGTTGGATCAACACGTGGCACCTGTTTGCTGTGTGCTGGATCAGCCCACTCATACTTGTAATATCATATCCAAACATATGTATTTCACTTAATCACACATGTGTTGGATCACCATAATAATATTAGTTCACTTAAGTGTTGGATCAACACAGAGCAATCACAATTATAACACATAGCGGCCTAGCATTGGGTATTGATACCCAAACTTACCGTCATACAACACATAAGGTCTCAAAATCAATCCTTGATGAAAACACATATCGACAGACTCGGCATTAGGTACCAGACGGTACCTGTCACGATATGGGGTACCGTCCTTACGGTACCTGGGTACCGGTCCTACGGTACCTGGGTACCGGTCATACGGTACCAGGGGTACCGTCCGAATCAATGAAATCTTTCGGTAGGACTGCTACGGTAGCCAACTACCGACCTGGCGGTAGGGCCTACCGTCCGTCCGTTACCTAGGTACCGTACGGTTGCAGCTACCGACAAAGGCAGAAGAAACCAACAGAGGGTGACGGTAACACGGAACCGTCCTGGCGGTACCGCCTACCGTCTGACACAACAAATTCTATATTCATACCTGTTTTGTTTTTCAGCATCAGACCAACGACAATATTATAACAACAAACATCAATAGGTCCATATTAACATTTTAAACATTATCAAGCACATTAATTCATCAATCAACGCCTAAGTCATGCATACTACCCTTTTGATTTGACAACAATTCCCGAAGCCATAACCAACAATTACACAGATAAATCACATAGATCGACCACGATAACAATTATGAACGAAATTTCAAACCTAGATGTATATTCTAGTGTTAGATGTCCACGTACTCACCTCGATTCGTCAATTCAATTCAAGAGAACATCATTCTGATTTCATCGTCAGAGTAATCTCGTTTGCTGCCTGAACTCCACGCGTCCCTGCTCGACGTCACCAGGTCGCTGCCTCTGTCACCGGAGAGGCCAAGTCGCTGGATTTTGTCGCTGGTTCCAAGCCACTGTCAGAGGCGTCGGAGTTGCTGCTAGAAGCCGTCGCTACTGTTTTGCCTGAGCAGAGAAGGCTCGCCGGAATTGCTGGATCGCTCATCCTCGTTGCCGGAGAGAAGTCATCGATCGCCGCTGCGCTTTTCCGGAGTTTCTGCCAAGCCGCCTGAATTCGCCTGCCGTTTGCGGTACCTGCTTGGAGTCACCGGAGAAGGAGGACGAGTCACCATCGCCGGTTTGAGGTCAACGCCGGAAAAGATGGAGGTTGCTGCGCCACGGTGGTCAGTCGCTGGCGTTGCCGGACCTCGCTGGAACGCCGGAAATCAGATGCTTCTTCTCGCGCTAGAACTCGGTCGCTGACCTTCCGTCGTCACCTCCATGGATTCGCGTTCGCTGGAGATGGAAAATCGACTGGGTTTGGTGGCGGCGTGTTTCGATCGGAGAAGAAGGGGAACGAAGAACGGGCTGTCCTAGGGTCTTGTGCTCCGAGATTAAAATAACCTGATTGAAAACACATTTTCGGGCCAACTTGCCCCGAATTGAGATCCGTTCACGTCATTGGATTCGATTCGTCGATCCCTACCCAACGATATACCTTTTACATTCAATTGACAAACATTTATTCGTTCCACTTGATCCGTCTTAATTCCTTCGATTAATTAGTACCAATCAGTCCTTTAATTTAAATCTTTATAAATATAATCAGATTAGTCTCGTTATATTCAGACGATTAGAATCTCTAAAATATGTTGGAACACGGGTTTACGCCTATGTCGTACTAAGCCGTGTTCGTTTTATGACAGGTTTTGATAATGCCAAACCGCCGTGACAATAACAATTGGTATCAGAGCCTAACTCTCTAAAAGCCTTAACGGGGTTGAGAGAACGATCTATATTTCTTTTGAGAATGTTGAGCGCAGGATCTTTTAGCGAAGGACACTCTTTAACAAGGCAACCACTCTTTAATGGAGTAAATTACTCTTATTGGAAAGATAGAATGAGAATCTTCATTTAATCCGTTGATTACATACTATGGATGGCAATCAACAACGGAGTTTCTCTCCCAACGAAGAAGGTGGGCAAGAAAAAAGTAAAGAAACTCGATGAGGAATAGAATGAAGAAGATATCAAGAAGGTGGAACAAGATGCAAAAGCTCTTAACCTTCTACTTTGTGCAATTGACGCGCAAGAAATTCAAAAGTTCTCCGGATATCAAACGGCTAAGAATCTATGGGATGGATGCGTGAGAAATACGAAACTCTACAAGGAGAAAAAGAAGTAACCCATATTTGTCTCATGGCCAATGAAGAAGAAGAGGTAAGTACTTCTAACTCTCATTCTTTTGAAGAATTACAAGAAGCTTTTAAAGAACTATTTGGTGAATTCTAGAAAGCTTCAAAAATTGCCAAATAGGCTAAGGCTGAACTTCATGCTTTAGAAGAAGAAAATAAATTTTTAGAAAATGATAATCTTGACCTTAAAAATAAGATTAAGGCAATGAACAAAGCTTTTTCCTTTGACCAAAGTTCTACTTGTTTCTCTTGTGAATCTTTAAAAATAGAGAATGTAGAACTTAAGAGCACCATAGAAAAACTTAAGGTAGAAGAGCCTAAGAAACTTGGTGAAGAAGTTAAGAATGATAAACCACCTAGAAAAACAAATAATCCTAGGAATAACAAAATTAATTTTAGAAAGAATAAAAATAATAAGTTGAGACAACCTAGAAATGACTCTAAGATTTTTATAAATGATAAAAATAATTTGAGACAACCTAGAAATGAGTGTAGGAATTTAATTAATAACTCAACCTAGAATAATGACTTTAGATCACCTAGAAAATTTTTGGCTCAACCTAGGCATATGCATAATCCAAATGTAGTTTGCCATTATTGCTCTAAGATAGGACACATAGCACCCGTTTGTTTTACCAAACACAGAGATTTGTTTTATAGCTATGATTATTATTTGCCTAACCCTCAAGGACCCAAACGCTTTTGGGTACCAAAAAATTATTTTTAGATGCATATGTAGGTGTGTTTGAAGACTACATTTTTGTAGTGGATGCTCCAAGCACAAAACCTAATGATTTGCATCAAGGGGAGTTTGGGGGGAATTGTTTTTGCTATAAACATGGTATCGGTTTCAGGGGGAACATACAACAATTATGTTTTGTATCAAACATCAATGCTCAGGGAGTACTTTATTTTTTAAACTTTACTTAGTGCTTTTTGCTAATGCCAAAAGGGGGAAGTGTTTGGGTATATGCAACAAGTGAGGGGGAATCTTGTTTTCAAAGACGCAGGGGGAATTACCATTACTCTCTCTTTGAAAACCCAACTTGGCCCTTTGAAAACCCAACTTGGCCTGCATATCCCCGCCTTGGTTTGTCATTATCAAAAAGGGGGAAATTGTTGGAAAACATTTTCACTTTGACATTTTGCTAATGACAATGTTTGTTTCCGCTTAGGTTTTGATATTGACAAACCGTCGGGAACATGGAACAAAATGAAAAGATTCAAAGAGATAGAAAAAGTTCTTTGAAGAAACAAAAAGCACAAGAAAGGCATTGACGTTGCTAAAGATGGCGACATTGGCGCTTTGAAGACGTATTCTAAATACTTAGGTTTTTATTGTAACAAGCTCATTCAATTTCTCTACATCATGGCTCCAAACAAAACATGTTTTTCATGCATCAAATGAGTGTTTTCATAGATGGTTTTTAAGTTTCTAAAACCCATGGTTCTTGCTTAACCAAACCATAACCATCGGTTATCGGCGTTCGGCTATGGCGTTCGGTTTTCGACATTGGTTATTGGCATTGATTTTAACCAAATGGTTTTTGGGTTTTTATCCTTGGTTTAAGCTTCTGGACACATTAAAAGGTTTTCCAAATCATTATTTTTCAAAAACCATAACCTTTGTTTTTTCGGCGTTGGTTATCGGCATTCGGCGCTGGTTATCGGCGTTGGTTTTGGCGTCCAAATCAATCAAGTGGTTTTTAATATTTTATGATTGGTTTTTACTTCTGGACATATCCAAATGGTTCTCCAACAAAAACATGTTAAAAACCACCTTTCGTTTTTGGTCTTTTGGTGAAAACCATGTGAAACGGCATAAACTTGGCTAGCCGTGGTTTTTACCTTAATTAAGTGGTTTTTAAGTTTTTATACTTGGTTTCTACATAAAATACATTTTATATGAGTTTCCAACACTTGGTTTTCATTTTGGAGAACTTTGGTTTTTGACATCGGTTTTCAGCATTGGCTGCCAAACCATGGTTCTGGCAAACCATCCCAACATGCATGTCGGAAATCCCAACAGCGATGTTGGCCTTCAGAAGCCCTGGGCAGTAAGTTTTTGAACAGCGATGTTCATGGTTGAACAGAGATGTTTTCAAATGACCGTTGGGCTATTTAAGACAAAATCTTTTCTTTTTTGAAAGTCAAACACCCCAACATCGATGTAGACTTCTAGACATCGATGTTTTGATGACCGTTAGCCATTTTTAAAAGAAAGTCAAAGCCAAAACAGCGATGTTCACTATATAAACAGCGCTGTTAGGGTAGATTTCAGCAGATCCACTTTTATTTGGTTATCACAAATCAAGCCAATCAACCCCAATCTTCTCCCAACCGTTGCACCTTGTTTTTGGGTATAAAAAGGGGTCTCTTGGGTCTACTTTTCACATCCATTTCTCACACATTTCATAGCTTTACATTGCATCATTCCATAAACTTTTTACATAGCTTTTTAGAGCCATTTCTTGAGGAATTGAGTTTGTTCTTGATCTAAATTAGTTTACTCATATTCTACTCTTTAAGAGAGTTTTTGTTCTTGAGTGGTTAAGTGTTGTGAATACTTTAAGGGAGGTTTTTTCCCTTGGTTGTACGAAGGAAGGGCATATTCCTTCGGGTTGAAGTCTTGGAGTGCGGTATCTCCGAGCAAGTGTATTGAGGCTCGTGGGACTCGAGTTCTCAGGTTGTAACGGTTTGTTAAGCACCCGTAAGCTTAACGGAAATAGTGTAGCTCGAGAGAGTCTCTCGGGAGACTGGACTAGCCACACGTTGTGGTGAACCAGTATAAATCTTGGTGTGCTCCCTTTACTCCTTTTTATTCCGCTCTTTACTTTATCCCTGCGATTTTTATTCCGCGAAAATTTATAAACATTCTCGTGCCTCACTATTCACCCCCCTCTAGTGAAGGGCACCTATTCTAACAAAATATCTTTTAATTCTTTAAAAGAATAGATTGTTGTATATAAATAATTCTTATTTATTTAATTATTGATTAACTTCTAGGCCGGTTTCTAGGGCGTTACACCAAAAATGTAAAAAAAAATCACTTATTAAAAAAGTACTTGGAGTGTTGGGCCTAAGGGGCGAGGTCGGGAGGAGCAGTAAATAAGGTTTGTTGTCCAGAACCAATCAGAAGCCCTTAAGCCATCTTTTAGTCGTTTATGAGGGGATTTTGTTTTTTGGGATTTTGACAATTTGGGTTGGGAATTGGGACACCTTATTTAACAACCCAAATTTTTATTCTTTTTTACACTAGGCATACTTGATTTTGGGTCACATAAAGCCTTCATAGATTCACCATCCATCGAGTTCTTCATGAAGATAGTTTTTACAAAGGATTGTCATCCACTCTTTTCTGTTACTTAAAGGAAAGTTTGGGCATACGGCTAGTTACGCTCTAGACATTAGAGCATGTTAAATATAATACTCCGGGTAATATATTAAATCCTGATGAATACTCGTATCTAACAATATTAGGCTTTCATCAGTTTGAATAGATCTCCCCTTTCACTTTACTGCCAAGTGCCAACATATCTTTACACAAAAATAGTCATTTTAAGTTAGTCAAATTCGGTTAAAATAATTTTTAGGTTAGTTATATATGGGGCAATATATAGGCTTACGGTCAATATTGTCTGTCTTAAAGATAGCGTTTTGTGAACACATATCCTCCATGTTATTTTGTCTCAAGCTATTCCGGTTACCCGGAAGCAACAAATATTTAGACATTTAGAGCATCTTCTTTAGGACTGAAAAAAGAGCTGGATGTTGAAAGAAACTTGACGAAACTGGAAAAAACTGGAAGGAACTGGAAAAACTAGAAAAAATTGGAAAATCTAAAAAAAACTTTAAAAAAACTTTTTTTTTGTGTTTTTTTAAATTATTCTGATTCTAATTCTTGTTGTTAGAACTTATTAATATTATTATTATTACTATTATTATTATTATATCATGCATATTGTTTTTGGCCAAAGAAGGTGATTGGTACTGCTTGGCCAATTTCATAGCATATATTATACTGTAGTATTTTTTGGTGTGAGGTGTAACAACAGGACCAAGACCACAAAGAGGATTGGTGTAGCCCAACAAAGAGGAGATCTGCAGTTTGATCCTTACATCGAAAGTCTTCTCAACAGAAGCTCGGGCGACGTGTCTTGTGGAATGGTAATG